GTATTAGCTACTGGCACACACTGCCAGCCTTTGGCGTAGTTGGTGTCTTAAAAGTGAACGTCACCAGAACTACCTTACAAGTAGCCAATGCAGAAAACGGTCTCTGCTCTACAGGGTGACTTGAATTTAAAAGCTAAATATTTCCATTACACATGTGAGTCCGTTTCCCACTACTGCAGCCTCCTGCTCCTTCATCGTTTGTCTTTTGACACAGATAAATGCCAGTGGAGATTATGTTTGCTGATAAAGGAGGAGGAATAAGCAGCAATGTGTCCTTGGAATAAGACAAAAGGTGCCGAGGTCCAGACTGCCAGAGCAGATCAAGGAACTGCCTGCTGAAATTATAAACCTAAAAGTTAAGAGAACGTCTTTCAGCGCTGCTTTGATATTTTGCAAAAAAGCAGCAAGTGGGGAAAATGGACCCGGACTCAAACAACATCGAGGTGCTGGGGGTGAAATCTGGGGTAAGCAATCTCCAAAGGAGCAAAGGGGGGAAAAAAGGAACGTAACCTCTGTTTTGAGCGTGCCAGCTCTACAGATCCCCCGTTGAGAGGACCCGTCCTGCCACGTAGCAACCGACCCCCGTCAAAGCAGTTAGACGCCGAAAGAGCCCACCCAGCACTCTCGCGCAGGGCACAGCTCTCATGTCTTCAGGGAAGAGGGGACGGTCAAAAGAAATCAGTGGAGGGAACATCTTCAAACTGCAAAGATTGCTTCAATAAATACCCCTTCTTTCTTTGCGATACAGTTCCTGCAGGCCCCACCAGCTGGGAATGAAAATCCACAAGAAGCGAGCTGGGTACCGCTAGTAGAAGAGGACAACATTTTTCTCCCAGAGTGGAGCATCCCATCTGATCAACGTGCGCTGTATTAGCAGAACGACGTTTTGTAAATCATCGAGAGGCGCCCAGCCCACCCGACTCCAGAACGGGATCTCTTTAGAAACAAACTGGCTCTCTGCTTCTTGCTGCAAGCCACAATCAATCTTAAGGATCTGAAAGATTTTCTTTTTTTCTGGTCAAGAAAATAGCCAGACTTCTTAACAGTCAAGTTGTGCAGCCAAGCCTGAAGCAGAAGATCAAGGAGCCCAGCAAATCGTTTGCTTTAAATCAGTCGTACTGAAGATTTTAGAAGGGAGTTTTAGGACTCAGCAATCCTCCTGAACATTCGTACAAGAAAGACCTGCCGTCAGGTGGAAAGTTCACAAACTCACCTAATAGATCCTGCAGCTAATGAGCAGATGCAAGACAGAGCAGGGACCTTGGTAAGACCGCGAGAACCAAGGTTTTAATCTTATGGCTTCCCAGGTTACAATTTGGACCTGACAAAGCCCGTCACAAAGCGTGAGGAATGAAATCAGTGCAGACATAAATCCTACAATTCGAAGGGAGGGAGAGGCTGAAGTTGTAGGTCTGTTTTGGCCAGACAGGGATCAAGGCAGAGCTTAGGGACAGCAGCTTTCGCCCCCTTGCTTCGAGGGTGCTGGCGCCCAGGGGCAGGCGTGCACTCCCGCGGCTCTGAACAGAGGTCTGTCATATGGCAGGAGACTCTCGGGGTGGAGAGGGAACTGTTCCTGATGTACCGCATGGATATTACAGGCTCTTAACAAGCGTTTCTGGCCCAGTTCAACCACGTGAAAAGCACTTTAGGCAAAACTTCTAGCTATGACAAACTGGTTTTATTGCTCTTGTCTTGTACTTGCCAGACAGGCCCCTGATTCAGCAGCCTGGAACAATATCTTGACTTGCAGGGGAACAAAACACCACCGCTCCGGACTCGCAGGATTCGGTCACCCAACCTCTTTCTTCCTCCTGCAATGGTCCAGGTGCTGCCTTTGTTCTGCTGGTGACAGAAGTGGTACCTTCTGCATAGGCCCTATTCCTCTCCTTTAAACTAGATGGGTATTATTTTAAAATGGTTTGAAACAATCTTGAATAAAGCACCTACCATTTCAAGATCTTCATACGAAAAGCTGCTTTTGAAGTTCTACTACTTTCATTTAGCCCAAACCAAGCCCAAGTCATTTAAACTCTAGTAAGTTCCTGTAACGACTGCTCATGAAAGACTAATATTATAGCTATTCAACACAAACCCACATTTCATTTCAAGCTGTGGTATTATTAGCTATTTCTAAAATGCATTCAATGTTAACCAAGCCCAGAGCATTTTCACTCTTCACTACTGTATACTCTTTAATTTGCATCGACCCGAGTTCAATATTCAATGACATAAAATTCAAAGAACACCTTCGGAGCAAGAGCAAAGAGGACTCATTCAGAGAGCAACATTCTTATTTGCAATAAAATTTCTCTCGTGGAAAATCAGCTAAAAGCAAGTGCCTTATTATCTCCTGTTGTGCAGAGATCTGTTAAAGTTTAACCACGTTATGAAACTGCATACTCTTCTTTGGACTGAACCGGGAGCAGAGGACATTTTGGCCGCACTCCCTGGCAAGTGCAATTAATTCTCTGAATCCTGGTTCAATGGACTTTCTTCCCCATCTCACAGGTAGCCTCGTGCCAGCCCACCTGCCTGGCTGGCCTCACGTCTGGGCCCGATGCCACGGGCAAGGGAGCCAGGCCGGAGGGGTCCTGCTGGCCCCCTTTCTCAGTTTGGGAACTCCTTATTTGTCGGCCTTCTACGCCGTCCCATGTTTTCGTCTCGGTTCGGCAATCCCACCCCTCAGTCTGCAGAAGTCACCTCATCCCACCAGAGCCTCGCCTGGACCCGCAGCCAATTCGCTCAGCACTGAAACACCTGCCACTGCCCAGGAGCGCCGTCAAAGGGGAGAAGCAAGACATTTTTCACCTTAATCCAATGCCAAAAAGAGTTAAGCTACATACCGTGCTGATCCCGGAAAGGTACTAATGACATTGCCGTCTCCTATTTATCACTGGATATCTAACCTACCACATGTCCGTGAAATGACGGCCCTGTGACACCAAGCACTTCAAACTGGGCCACTCAGCAACATACATACACCCAGTTCTTGAACAAGCTATTTGAAGCTGCTTTGCCAGCAGTTTCTGGCCTGTACAGTTGGAAAGCACATAGTTCTGGCCTCACAAAGAGCAGACCTGTAAACGACATCTCGAGGATTAACCTGATTGAGATGCAATTTGCCTAGCAACCATTCATTAAAGCAGAGTTCAGAAACGGGCCAGCGATCTATTCCACCTCCTTATCGGAGCTGCAAACAGATAACCGGCTCTGCTGTGTCCTCTACCCCTGTTTCAGGCGCGTGGTAAACAGCTTTTTTCAGAAGTTCGGCCTCCTCCAGTAAATCTCCGGGAACGGCCCCTTTCTCTAAACACACATGGGATTTAGTTGCAGAAGTGCCCGACCAGCTTGAAACAACAGTTGAAAAGCACCATCGTGTAAATGCAGCCACAGTTCTCTTTTATCCCCTCACCTGCAGGGACAAGAGCCTACCCCCAGCCTTAAAAAAAAGGACTAAGCCCAAACATTTCAGCATGCATGGGTTTGCCGATCATTTAGAGAAGCTCAATAGCAATCTTATTCCTCTCCTTCAGCATGTGAAAGGAATCGATGTGTATCCCTGAAGCCTTTGATAAAGGCTCTCCCCTCTCCGAGGGGACTCAAGGCTGGTGCCCCCCTCCCATTAAGCCCCGTCGCTCACAAAACGAGTGGAACAGAACATAAAATGTCGTTGGCAAAAATCAAAGCAGCTACTTGGGTTTCAATAGCACAAAGCAGCTCGGCCATAGCACAGCAATCCTTTGCTCACAGGAAGCCATCAGCTGTTCTTCTTTTGCATCCAAGTTAAACGAGAGGGACGAGGACGGACATACCTACGACCACGCATCTGAATGCTCCTTCCTTAGCATGCAGCTCTGTGGGGAAATCACGGTGACATACAGCATGCCATTACTATTAAATATTTAAGCCCGAAAAATTAAACTGACAATAAAAAATTAATGCTGTGTAATACAACTGCAGAAAAAGGAGGGGGG